ATCCTTTCTCACCAGGACAAAACACTAGTAGCATTGCTAAATGCCACTAGTTCTCAATCATCTTGCTTTCGGAAGGTCATCTGTCTTTCTGGTACATTGGCTGTCTTCTAGTTGATATTTTGAGAGCTGAAGGAAGACCCAGGTGGTCATAGACTCATAGAATCATAGAATAGTTAGGGTTGGAAAGGACCTTAAGATCTTCTAGTTCCAACCTCCCTGCCGTGGGCAGGGACACCACACTAAACCATCTCACCCAAGGCTTCATCCAGTCTGGCCTTGAACACTGCCAGGGATGGAGCATTCACAACCTCTCTGGGCAACCAATTCCAGTGCCTCATCACCCTAACAGGAAAGAATTTCCTCCTTATATCCAATTTGAACTTCTCCTGTTTAAGTTTTAATCCATTACCCCTTGTCCTGTAACTACAGTCTCCTTCCTTTGTTCAATAGTAGGGAATGACTATCAGGCACAGAATCACAGAATCATTAGGGTTGGAAAGGAGCTCTGGAGATCATCTAGTCCCACCAAGTCATAGAATCGTCCTGTATTTAACTTGCATTTATGTCTTCTTATAAGGCAAAAGGCTACACTATTGTCTCCTGATGTTTCTGAGCCACCTCTCTTTTTCTTGTCTGTGTCTCCAGAGGTATCCTGCTAGATTCCAGTTTGTAGTCTGCTCCAGTTTTCCCATAAGCAGTACTCCCCAAGCTATATTTTCTGTCTTTTAGCTTTTCTAATTCATGTATCTGAAGGTTCAGCTCCTGGTAAATTTGGTTGCTTGTTTCCTTCAGTTATGCCACAGTAAGGATGGTTTTCAGTGATGATATGTGGCCTCAGAAGCCTACCAAGCAATTTCATGCGCCCCTTTCATGAAGAGAGCTTCATGAAAAGCCCTGCTCTGTCTGCGTACCAAATTCATACTGAGAAGGTTGCAAGATAGAGTCGACAGCTGAGACAGCAGTGGCATGCTGCTCAGAATAATTTTTCTTCCCTGACTGATCACTTGTTTTAATATCACTGGCATAAGAAGATGAATCTCAAAATAACACCATTCTTAAATACATGCATTTTTTATATTAATTCAAAAGAACTCTATGTGCTACACTGAAATCAACCCCTTCTGTGTCAAAATTATTTCTTCCTTCCATGCTTCATGCCTTCCATGGCAGTCAGGTGAAGTTCCCAACAACTGGAAAAAGGGAAATATAACCCCCATTTTCAAGAAGGGGAAAATGGATGACTCGGGGAATTACAGACCAGCCAGTCTCACCTCTGTGCCTGGCAAAATCTTGGAGCAGATTCCCCTGGAAGGCATGCTAAGACACATGAAAAACAACAAGGTGCTTGGTGACAGCCAGCATAGCTTCACTAAGGGGAAATCCTGCCTGACCAATTTGGTGGCCTTTTATGATGGGGCTACAGAACTGATGGACAGTGATACAGCAGTTGATGTCATCTACCTGGATTTGTGTAAAGCGTTCGACACTGTCCCACATGACATCCTTGTCTCTAAATTGGAGAGACATCAATTTGATGCATGGACCACTTGGTGGATAAAGAACTGGCTGGATATCAGCACACAAAGAGTTGTGGTCAATGGCTCAATGTCCAGCTGGAGACCAGTAACAAGTGGCGTCCCTAAGGGATCGGTGTTGGGACCGGTCTTGGTCAACATCTTTGTCGCTGACATGGACAGTGGGATTGAGTGAGCTCTCAGCAAGTTTGCTGATGACACCAAGCTGTGTGGTTCGGTTTGTACGCTGGAGGGAAGGAATGACATCCAGAGGGACCTTGACACGCTTGTGAGGTGGGCTGATGCCAGCCTCATGAAGTTTAACCATTCCAAGTGCAAGATCCTACACCTGGGTTGGAGCAATCCCAGGCACAGGTACGGCTGGGCAGAGAAGAGCTTCAGAGCAGCCCTGCAGAGAAGGACTTGGGGGTGCTGGTCGATGAGAAAATGGTCATGAGCAGGCTGCAGTGTGTGCTTGCAGCCCAGAAAGCCAAGCGTATCCTGGGCTGCATCAAAAGGAGCGTGACCAGCTGGTCGAAGGAGGTGATCCTGCCCCTTTATTCTGCTCTAGTGAGACCTCACTTGGCGTATTGTGTGCACTTCTGGTGTCCTCAACATAAAAAAAGACGTGGAACTGTTGGAACAAGTCCACAGAAGGGCCACAAGAATGATCAGGGGACTGGAGCACCTCCCATATGAAGACAGGCTGAGAAAGTTGGGGCTGTTCAGCCTGGAGAAGAGAAGTCTGCGTGGAGACCCCATAGCAGCCTTCCAGTATCTGAAGGGGGCCTATAGGGATGCTGGGGATGGACTCTTCATTAGGGACTGTAGTGGTAGGACAAGGGGTAATGGATTAAAACTTAAATAGGGGAAGTTTAGATTGGGTATAAGGAGGAAATTCTTTTGTGTTAGGGTGGTGAGGCACTGGAATAGGTTGCCCAAGGAGGTTGTGAATGCTCCATCCCTGGCACTGTTCAAGGCCAGGTTGGACGAGGCCTTGGGTGATATGGTTTAGAGCGAGGTGTCCCTGCCCATGGCAGTGGGGTTGGAACTTGATGATCTTAAGGTCCTTTCCAACCCTAACTATTCTATGATTCTATGATTCTATGCTCTTGTTTCCACATACTGCATTGCTCCTGCCAGCCTTCTCGCTCAATCTGGCCTTTCAAAGCTATCTTCCAATAGTGGAAGGAAAAACAGATTTCCTGTGCAAAGTGACAGATAAACTAAATCATTTGTGTGATCAGCCAAATCTAGGAAAAGTCTTGTGTTCATAAGTTCACTCCTGAAGCTGAAAAGTGCAGGAAGTCAGTAGTATGTAAAGTTGGATGTAGGTACTGAGTGTAGCAATTAATTTATACTGGAAGATGATTAAGGGAGTGGAACACCTCCCTTATGTGGAGAGGCTGAAGGAGCTGGGTCTCTTCAGCTTGGAGAAGAGAAGACTGAGGGGTGACCTCATCAGTGTTTACAGATATGTAACGGGTGGGTGTCAGGATGATGGAGCTAGGCTTTTTTCAGTGATATCCACTGATAGGACAAGGGGCAATGGGTGTAAACTGGAGCATAGAAGGTTCCACGTTAACATCAGGAAGAGCTTCTTTACTGTGAGAGTGACAGAGCACTGGAACAGGTTGCCCCAGGGGGGTTGTGGAGTCTCCCACATTGGAGATATTCAAGGCCCGCCTGGACAAGTTCCTGTGTGATGTACTCTAGGTTACCCTGCTCTTGCAGGGGGGTTGGACCAGATGATCTCTTGAGGTCCATTCCAACCCTTGGGATTCTGTGATTCCTACCTATTAGACAAAATTTTGTTCTTATTCTGAACGGCTCATATATATAGTGTGAAGGTGGAAGAGGTCTGGCTGGATCTTAATCCTGTTTGTACTGTATCTCCCTGTTGTGTGGAGCTTACAAACGTTGTTGAGATTGTGTCTGAACTGCATTATGGGAGGGTAAACCTTTTTAAATTAGAGATATCTGAACTCATACTCTTAAGATTTCCCCAATCCTTAATGCCAGTTTGATTTTTTCATTTACATGGAGCCAATGTTCACCTATAATACATCTTAGTAAAGTAAGCCATAGCAGTGAGTTCACCCATCTTGAGGTTCTTCATGGGATCTGTAAAAGAGGAGTACACCACCACCATGGTTATGGAACTGAAATGGTTGACCCTGCAAGATAAACTTAAGGCTGAACATTGCAGACCACACAGTTTGGTGTTAGCCTGTGTATAGATAGTGTGTATAAAAATATAAAAAACTCAGAAGTGTTGAATGAGGCAGGCAGAGCCCACAGCACACTATAAGGGGAGAGTGGGTGGATAGCATTCATTAATGTAATGATTCAGAATCCGTGAACTGGGACTGATACATTTGAAAGAAGTGGCTGAAACTATTTTGTGAGGTTTTTTTTTTTTTAATCTATTTATTCTTTTTTTTTTATAAAGCAAACAGTTTTTGGGTCACAAGTACTTTGTTACTGGGGAAGCTGCAGCCGTGTCTTGGCGATTGGCAATATATGTACCTTTCATTCTAGTGAATAGTTCCAGTCCTTAGATAAAAAGTGAAAACATTTTAAAAGATGTATCAGTGCACTCATTGCCTTAGAAGTCTTACACTGTGTTTTGTATAGGCTAAATTTTGAGACTGTTTAGAAACATTAAATTAACCACAGCTACTTATTTAGAAACATTGACTCAAGAGGACAGTGTGTTTCAGAGGATTTTTCCAGGTGTCCTTAAAGATACTGGCTTTAATCCATAAAGCTCTCAGTTATGTGGGCATACCTTCTCCCTCTCATTTCTACACACTTAAGAGCATAAACAGTTGGCATTGAATCCATCTTGATTTAAAAAGGAAGATCCTCTTATCAGGGAGTTTCCTGTAAGTGGGAACAGACTGCTACTTCACTATCTCTTGGCCACCTGCTTTTCCTATAAGTATGTAATTTTGATAGTCTTTCCAGAAAGCTGAATGTCTCCCTGCTCCTTTTTCATATTCTTTGAGAGATGATAACAATATAGTGTAACTGTGTGAGAACTATTGTGGATTTATTGTTGTAGTTGGTGAATATTATGTACCCTGTAGACAGTCAGTTAGATGTGGCATATATTGTAGATTTTATATTTTGTCTGCTTAATATTTTCTTGAAGTGCCTAGAGACATGGTTAGGTGCTTTAATTATAACTTCAAATAAATAAGTACACTAAATAAATAATTGAAGCAGGCAGTTTCAGATAAAAAAGAGAGCTGGCTTCTGGGCAGAAAACATTGTAAGTCTTAAAACAGCAGTATCTTTAATAAAGGAGGTTAAATAAAAGCCTCAAAGAATTTATTCTTTAAAAAAAAAATCCAAATCCCCAGACTAATAGGATTTGTGCTTGGTGAATTAGAAGCTTCATTATATATGGTACAAAATTACTAGGGAGCATTTTATTTACCTCTAATTTCTATTTAATAGCCACTGCACTTGTCATTGCAGGTATGGTTACAAAAGTATGGCTACCTTCCACCAACTGACCCCCGAATGTCGGTGTTGCGCTCTGCAGAAACCATGCAATCAGCTATAGCTGCCATGCAGCAGTTCTATGGCATTAATATGACAGGAAAAGTGGACAGGAACACAATTGAGTAAGTAACCAGTACTGAACTGCTCTTGACTTTTCTGTTTTAAGCAGGGTAAAATAGAACTGTAAAAACGTTAAAACACATGGAGCAAGGTGAACGGGATATTCAAATAGCGTTGCAGCTTCAGATGGGGACTTAAAATGTTTCTCCTTGCTTTTTTTTTTTTTTTTAACATCCTCTGTATTTCATGGCATCAGGTTAGACACCTGCCTAACTGCTGTCTGCCTTTGGGCAGGTGATTTGTAAAGAAAATGTTTCAGGGCTACCTGAAGAAAGGGCCATAATTTTATGAATGTGGAAGTGGATAAACCGATTAAAAATCGACAAGAATTCATGATATGTCTTTTCTTACTGGAAAATGTCTAGTGTAAATTTCCTTATCCTCACTGAAAAAAAAATTGAGCACATTCCGTTAGCCTATTCGTTTGATAATTTCCTGTGAGAAAAGACCAGATATAGTCATTTTAGCATGCAGTAAATTTGGAATAATTTTGCATGCCCTTCTGAATTTTGTAAGGCCAGCAGTATCTTATTGTCAGACTGACCACAGAGAAACTGTGAAACAAAGCTATTAAAAGGCACTTCCAAACAACTCTACACTATGCCAGATTTTAAAAATGTGATGGGAAAATAATAGTAAGTATTAGTGCACAAGTAAAAAAAAATGCATCTGGGATTAAAACAGCAGGGGAAGTGTTTATACCCCTGTATTTGACATTAGTGAGGCTGCACCTTGAATATTGCATTCAGTTTTGGGCCCCTCACTACAGGAGAGATATTTTGTTGCTGGAGCGGGTCTAGAGAAGGGCAACGCAGCTGGTGAAGGGCCTGGAGCATAAATGTGATGATGAACGGTTGAGGGAACTGGGGTTGTTAAATCTGGAGAAGAGAAGGCTCAGGGGGGATCTTACGGCTCTCTACAAATACCTGAAGGGAGGTTGTACTGAGGTGGGTGTTGGTCTCTTCTCCCAAGGAGCAAGTGATAGGACAAGAGGAAATGGCCTCAGGCTTTGCCGGGGGGAGGTTTAGACTAGATATGAGGAAAAAAATTCTTCTCTGAAAGAGCTGTCAAGAACTGGAACAACCTGCCCAGGGAAGTGGAGCTATGTAAAAGACGTGGAACATAAGGATGTAGCACTCGGGCACATAGAATCATAGAATCATAGAATAGTTAGGGTTAGAAAGGACCTTAAGATCATCAAGTTCCAACACCCCTGCCATGGGCAGGGACACCTTGCTCTAAACCATATCACCCAAGGCCTCGTCCAACCTAGCCTTGAACACTGCCAGGGATGGAGCATTCACAGCCTCCTTAGTGGTGGACTTGGCAGTGCTAAATTAATGGTTGGACTAGATCTTAAATGCCTTTTCCAACCTAAACAATTCTATGATTCTAAGGTTTTAAGTGCTTGTTGGACCCACTTCAAGTAAAATGGAATAATTATGATTTTAGAAAAAGTTACTTTGTTTGAAAAGTAAGCAATTATAAAATAGTAGCAAAATAGTACTGTCACTAGATACTCAACATTTGCTTCATTGAAATATGTTTCTACTACTTCCCTAAAATGCTTTTTAATGTGTATGTGGGGAAAATCCTGTCATTTTCCATTTACCAGCCCTAACCCGATGTGTCATATTTCGTTATTCTTTTGTGGTAAAGTAGCTGGCATGAATGATTTTTCTATCATTTAGAGTTTAGGGAAGAGACTACCCAAAATGCTGGCAGGATTGGAAAAATCATTTTATTTCACTGGCACATGCATTATTGCGTTGAAAAGCAATAAAGCAAAGCAGATTTTAGGGCTACCCTGAGGGAAGGTGAGTTGATTGTACATCCCTCAGTTCAGGAATTTAAAAGGCCTCAGAACATGCAGTGCAGTATCAGTAAACACCTTGTGAGAGAGCTATGCTCAGAAGTATGCCTAGGATTCAATCTGCAGGGTGGAGAGACTGGGCTCTTTATACAGCTTCAGCATTTGATCCTTGAGGGGAGAGTGCTCTACCTGTCACTAGTAGCCTTTAAAGACAAATTAGTGGCAGCTTTGTAAGAGTAAATATGTTTCACTAAAAGGAAGATAGTTTGTTCGTAGTACCTAAAGAAAATCTAAAGAAAAGCAGAGGCCATCTCTTTGTTTATAAAAAAACATCTCTTTGTTTAGAGTATTAGCTAGTGAGTTGAAAAAAATGAAACAAAACTTCAATTGCAAAGGGAAGAGGTTTATGTTTTCAGTTTAGAAAAGTCTAGTTTAGGACTTTTTGGCCAGCATGTCAGCAAAGTTGTCTCATTCTGCTATGTAAGAGACAAAGGAATCCATGTATGCAGCAGTCCAAAACAGCAGTTTTACAATCTGGTGGATATTAAGTCTTACAAACGTTTTGATACATTATTTTCTTTTACACATAAAGGCATATTAGCATGGCAATTCTTAGGTACATGTAACTCATGATGGATGAATTCTGCATTTGGTTACACATTTGGAGTTATGTAAAGTTGAATCAAGTTGGAAACAGAGCTGATTCTTAAAGACTTGTCACATTTACATTCATGTTAAGAAAAAATCTTATTAAACTAAAATGAGGCCTCAAGTTACTATCAGTTGACGCTAGTGAATATTCTTGGGATGTATGACTGTATAACGAAGGATAATTGTTATTTATTTTTAGTTAATTTATGGCAGTATTTTGTAAATGTTTGAAATAATTTTCCCTTTCGTCCTCACAGAAAATTTACATACTCTCTTTTGACCAGAAATACATGATAATTTACCATTGTTTTCTATGTGATTAATATGTTATAATTACTTACAATGCTGGGATTACAAAATAAAAAAGTACAGCAGGAACCTCATAGAAACAATATGTTATCATCTTGTGCATGTGGATTTACCTGCTTCTCAAGCATGTTTTGAGAAGAGATTATGATGTGCCTCTTTGTCTTCAGAAGGACAAACAATTAAAGGAAGTTATAGTAAGAGCTTGATAGGGACCAACTTTAGGGGTGTTAATAAAAAATTAATGTCCTGTAGCATCATGATCAAAAGTCTCCTGTGGGGACTTTATTGCTCTGGAAAAAAAGATAATACCTACATGAATATTTTGGCATGCATAAATATGAACAGCATTCATCTTCACCTTAATCCTTATCATTCAATTTTTTTTTTTTTTTGCTATAGTTTCTTGTTTGTTTCTCAAGTGGATTGAAAAGCATGATGCTTACTTATTGCTGGGGATAGGGAAGGATGGTAGAAAGTGATTTCAATATAGTGGTGTTAAAATATGAGGAACGTTCTGAATACAAGCATAATGACAATGACAAACCCACTTAAAGTCCTGACATTTGCATGGGGTATCACAGCATTTTCTGTGATTCATTTATATATTACCAAACACAGTCAATGATTCATTAAAAAGCAGACTGCTGAAAATGGACCCACTGTTGGTATCCTGGTCTTTCACATCCCTAAACCAAACATGCTGAGTAGGAAGACTAGTTTAAATAAGTTATCTAGTTAGTTGTCTTTTATTAAAACCGCTATACATGTTAATTTCCAAAATATGTTTTGCAGTATAAAGAGGTATATTACAAACTTCTTGGTATACAGGTGGAATGGTTGTGTATAGGATGATGACTAAAGCTGTGCAATAGTGACAAAACATTTGTTTTATTTTAATGTCGTCCTTTATAAATAAGTGGCAAATGTGCTTATATTAATGCTGAGATGAGCTTCTAACCGAGTTTACATCAAGGTTCATAACGAAGATGTAATCATATTTATGTGGGATCTCTGTTGTTTATATATTAATTATCAGTCACAAAGTAAGCATGAATGATAAATTTTGAACTGTTGACTCAGTGGTCTGTTGTATTCATAAACGTTTTTGTTCAAAACCTATACATAATGTCTTGTACCCTCAGCAAACATTCAACGAGAATGAATGTCTTGCGGACAAGTCATCATCAGTAGCAAGGCTAAAAGATAGTATTTTACAATCAATATTTGACTCTCCTCACCAGAAGTTTAAGGGTACCATTCCATTCAGTAGTTTTCTTAAAGAAATGTTTATATTTTTTCCATCCACTAAATCATCAAGTTAGACTTTTTTTTTTTTAACTATACCTCTTCAAAAAAAAAAAAAAAATCAGAACCTACCAACAATAAAAACATAATACAGATGAAGCAGCAGTTTTGATCAAGGGCAAATGAGAGGAAACGTTTAATCAAAGATGGGGTCTTTGAGTGTTTTGATTGTGTTACACCAAAACTTTTTCCTGAAGGCTTAAGAAAGTGAGGAGACAGCAAAAGTTTATTCTCTCTGAGAAGTTCAGTTTTAGCTCTTGCTCTACTAGAAGAACAGTTTTGCTGCCTATTTTGGTTTGATCTCAGATTTTCTTTGAGTCTAAATTGTTTTAATTCTCTTGACATATATAGCTCCTCAAGTTTCACACTAATGGAGCTAAGAGCGGAACTTGATGTGTCATACTCTACCGATAGATTGCATTAGTCACATTTAAGCCCCCTTAATGAATACTGATAAAATATTAACTTCAAGGGGCTGCTGCATAAAAGATTTCTCCAAGTTCAGAAGCAAACAGATGCAAGACAGGCACATTCATTACCCATATTCACCCTTTTAAAAATGAAAAACATTTAAAAAAATAAAATTGAGTTTGAACAAGCAATCAAGAGCATGGAAGATTTTGATCATGTTGTTAAAAGCAGCTATATTTGGAAGAAAATGGAAATTAGTGTTTTATTTGTCGATTCCCCCACAGATGGAAGACCATATTACACACTAAGTATAACCAAACTTCATGAGCATTAATTATTAGCATGGACAGAAGTCTTCAAGTCATTTTGAGAACAATTACACTTAAAAAATATTTTTAACATGTTAAACAGAAGAAAATGTACGTGCCAGAAGTTATTAACATTTTGCCCGATTTCTGTGCTAGAAAATACTGAACTTGGTACTAAGCATGTAATAATTTCTCTAAAATCCTGACTGCTAACTTAGCTCAGCTAAGGTCTAAGTGATAGATCTAGTGGTGGTCCAGCTCTTCAGCTGCAAATTGCATTTTCCCTTAAATTTTATACGAAGATGATTTTCTGAAAGCTAGCGAACAACTTGCACAAAGGCTTCTGTTTGATTTATTTTGGGATTTATACTGTGTGTGAACCACAGTCCCAGTCTTCATGTAAGAACATTAGTGGGCCAGACAGCACAACAACATGGAACATTCCTTGCCCATCCAAACCAATCAGGAATCAAGCATAATGTTCTTGATAGATACATACCACTTCAAAATCAATGCAGGAACAAATTGTGACTGCTTGAATTTCATAACATTATTTTGGGCTGTGTTTTGTTTTGCTAAAAATGGACTGTCAGTAGCTCTAGTAAGTTAACACGATGTTGAATTTTGAATCCATGCTACCTACTGTTCTTCACTCTTTGTATTAAATCCTAAATCTAAGCCATTCTATGCTAACATTATTTTCTGTAAGATTATTGAACCTTTGACATAACTGGAGAGGTTATTTCAATGACAGCTTTGACAATTAACTTTCAAATTCACAACTTGGAATATTGATACTTGCCTGCACCTGGTTTGCCAGTGAGCAAATCTTCTTACTAAAATAGATCTCCATCAGTTAAGCTAAATAAGTTAAACTTTTCTTTGTGGGGGGAGGCAGTTCAATTGCTTTGAAGTCATTGTCCTTGGAACAATACAGCTAGAAGTGATTCATTATATATACAAGACCTTGACATTTTTATACAGTGTTTCCAGCAAAATATAATAGTTATTTGGTTTTGCTTTATTCCTTGCGTCTTTCTTTTGATGTAGTGATATCACTTTAAGGTGATAACAGTGATCTTTTGTTACATTTATGTCATCTTCTGCAATGTGTGTGTGCAGTTTCAATAGCATAATTTAAATATATCATTAAAATACATGGTAACTGCATGCTGATCTAACGTGCACTGCAAAAAAAAATATTACTGACAACATGTCTAAAAGTTTTCTGAGGTCTGAACCAATTTTAATCTCATTTGCTGGAGTGTATAGATGCTATCATTTTACTAAGAAAACAACTGCCATTTGATCTATAACTAAAGTCTGCTTCTTTCATTCAGTTTCTTTTCTTATTAGAGCAAATGAAACTTTTTAATATTATTTCATCCCAGAAGTTGCTAACATCCTTTGTTGAATTGACACTTCTTCAAAAAAAAAACACAGAGGAACCTGTAGTAAAGTTGTAGGGTGTTTCAACAAATACTGGTGGGGTAAAGTTCTATAGATTGTGCAGTACTGTCTTTGCAGACACAAGGGAAAGAAGATTGTCTTCCATGAAGATACAAATGATAGCCAGCTCTTTTATGTGTCACACACACTTTGTAATTATTCTGACCAGAAATTACAGAAATAGTTACTTGTTTCTTACTTGAAACAGGAGACTGAACTCCAGGTCTTCAGGCAGTCAAATTTGTAAGTTTTGGCTTCCTCACTTTTAACTTGATGGATGTGTCACCTGTGACAGTTTTTGCAGACACCTCCATCAGTCTTTATCAGTGCAAACGGGATGTACTGCCATCTTGGTACTATCACTAAAATTTTGTGGTTTCCGACAAGCTGGTGAGCTTAACTCCTACTTACACATTTAAGCAATACTTTGCTACAACAAACATCCATGGCTGCAGCATATATGGAGTGTGTTAAGTCTGGCTGTACTGTTAAACCTCTTAACACTGATTTATTAGTGTGGCTGATTTTCTCTGGATTATCTCATCTCTGAAAATCCATTCAGTATGCAATATGGTTTGTCTTGTATTAGTAGGTGTAAAACTTACAATGCACATCTAATTCTTTGAGTACAGAACTGAAAAATCAATTATTTCATTTTACAAGGGCATATAAGGATAGGACGAGGGGTAATGGCTTTAAACTGAAATAAGGTAGATTCAGACTAGACATTGGTAAAGAATTCTTCGCTTTGAGGGTGCTGAGGCACCACCACAAGTTGCCCAGAAAAGTTGTGAATGCCCCATCCCTGGCAGTGTTCAAGGCCAGGTTGGATGGGGCTTTGATCCACCTTGTGTAGTGGAAGGTGTCCCTGCCCATGACAGGGAGGTTGGAACTAGATGAGCTTTAAGGTCCCTTCCAACATAAACCATTATATCATTCTGTAATTCCTTGTATTGTGTAGTTTTTTGTATACACACACACTCCTCCTTTGTACTGTAAATATTCAATTTATTTATTTTTTTTTTCATTTGGACAAAACAAGATGGTTTTCTTCATTTTGTATATATTGAACTAAGAATATCTAATAGAAAAAAAAAAAAAGAAAGATAGTTGTCTGGTTGAAGGTGTTTCTGAGTTTTTGCTATCTGCGCATGTTTTCAAAGGACTCTACATTCTGGGATGACATTTCAAATGACTTTTCTGTCATCCATCATACACACATACAGCTGCTGTGAGTATATTTATTTATTTATGAAACAAGGCTTAAATGCCATCTTAATGGTCAAAAATTCGTTGATGCAAGCCTGAATATAGGGTATGACTACTTTTGTGGTGAATACCATTGGAAAACTATAGCTTTTACATCAGGAATTATTTGGCATGATGGAAATAATGTCAAATGAAGTGGAAAAGTAACAGAGGAGCTTTGTCTTATGCAATCAATGTCTAATCTTACTGTCTTCCTGACGGTAAGTTCTTCTGCAGCTATTCAGCTCATATAAAATAGTAACTTCAGCTGAGTTTTGTTCAGTTTAACTCTAAATAATCCTTACTCTGCAAGTGAGAAATAGTTCAATGATACTGCTGTTGAACTTATGCTTTTGAATTAGATATCATCCGAATTTTGACATATGTGGAATGCTGGCAAGCTCAAATTTTTTGAAATGTTGGGGAAAAAAATGAAATATTGAATGTCACTGTGAGAATCAGGCAGTCCTGTGGAAAGCCTGGTGCTGCTGCAGTGGTCATTTTTGTTGTTTGTGATTTAGAGCTTTTTAAGCCTGATTTTGATTTGAATATACTTAAGCAGAATTCTTGAGTTAAATATCCCCACTAAGTGCTTACAGCTGCAATTAGATACTACTCGTGTGAAAAGTGTGAAAGAAGAACTTAAGAGTATCATAAAATTAGTAGTTTCAGTATCTTGAAGCAAAAAAGTAAAATTCTGGCAGTTGACTGGGCTCTCTGATTAAAAGACTTAGAGACTTATTTTAATATACTGACAATGAGACAAAAAAGAAGGATTAAAGAATACAGAAATTATTTTAGGAAGTAGTGCTTTGACTAATCTTTGTATATATGCTTTATCTTCACCTTCAGAAAGCAAGCTAGTAATATGGATTATAATTACCTTGAATGAATCTATATAAATTATTGCTGTGAAATACTCATCCAGTTGTGAAGTCTTTGTTCAGAGGTTATAGCAAAAGAAAAGTAGGAAAAATAGCAGCAAAGAAATTGCTTTCTGGAGGTCATGTGATACAGGGAAGTTCTACGAACTATACATCTGATAACAAGATAACTGTTCTTTTTGTTAGGCATTGTTGCATGTGGACAAAAACTTGATAAAACCGTAACCTAAAAAATTGCAATCTTTCTATTAATTAGATTCAGTGGTTATGATTTGTCTTTCATGTTGCTTTAACTATGTGGTGCTGTTTCTTGTAGCTGGATGAAGAAGCCTCGATGTGGTGTGCCTGACCAAACAAGAGGTAGCTCCAAATTTAACATTCGTCGGAAACGCTATGCGTTAACAGGACAGAAGTGGCAACACAAACATATCACTTACAGGTACCAAATATATTCATATAAATATATAAATGCCACTAGTAGTGCTGATTTTTAATTTAAAGTATATACTAATTTCTGAAATACTTTTCAGTATTTTGAGAAGTTTGTGATTAAAATGTGATATAAAAATGCTGAATTGGATACCTCTTGAATAAGTATGTATGTGCTGCACAAGAACCAAATTATTTTTGTGGATTAAAGTTGCATGCATTTAGTAAATTCTGTGAAGCTTTCAGTATTGATTTAACATCCAATATTATCTTACAAACCTCTTGAAAACTTCTCAAGGAATGTTGCTCTGAAACTAGGACTGCTGTAATGAAACTCAGATCTCTAATTCCAGTATGTAAAACAAGTTACTGAAAGGAGTTGGCCTCTGCAAAATAGAGGTGTGTACAAGTCTATTCTAAGTACAGATGAATTTGATTATAATTTGGTGAGTCACTGACGCAACCAATCATTTCCTGCTGACATGATGATGGATATGTCCCAAATGTACTTCAGTGTAACTCTTGAATCTGGCATGTAGTTTGTACAGTACGTTGCCTACTGTCAAAACTGATCTTGCAAGGTAGATGCAATCTGTGTACTTGCTAGAGGTCTGACACACAACGGAAGTGTCATGTACATAATATAAAATCTATAATTTGTCCATAATTTCAAGGATTCCAATGCAGCCTGTTTGAAACTGCACAGCCTTATTGGGATTCCTGTGTTATCTAACAAGGGAAAGTTCTGAGGGATAATATAATTTTTGAATTCATTAACTGCTGCTATTATTCATAAACCGTGTAACTATTAAATTTTAAGTTCATAAGCTCTAATGGTCATATAGACTGTTCATACCACAATGAAGAGATAATTTTATTAGTAATCTGTGTCAATACTATGTCTTAAATCTGAATTAGAGAATTCTAACACATTACACACTGATATAACTTCGAGTTATAGAGAACTGACTGCCTTGAAATTAGTATGTTTAGCTCATATTGGCTGGAGTCCCTTATTGTTAATGTAAATGTAATGCATATTTACTTAGAATAAGAATGTCCACCTACAGCACTTAACATTTATTTGCATTTTAAAATTTAAATGTAGTATGCGTGTGTGCAAAATGTGTGATTTTTCTGTCTCTCTGATTTGTGCAGTGTCTTGTTCTGTATTCCATTATAGGATTTTTTTACATGTGTCTAAATCCCTCCCCTTGTATATATTCTATACTATCACACAAGGCATTAATCACAATAACAAATAAGGCATTGATCACAATAACAAATAAGGGTATTAAACTATCAAGCAATCTTTCTCACTTTGAAGAATTTATAGCAATTCTTTACCTCCTGCCTTCTGTGTTGTAAAATGTCCATTCTCTCACTTTGACAAGTCCTCCAGTCAACCAGATCTTTGAAGTTAATAAACCTGTAATATTTTTTGAAGTGAATTACAATCCAAAAAGTATTTAAAATAGAAAACACAAATGTTATTTGATTAAAAAATAAAATATTAATCTTTCTGAATTAAAAAAAAAACAAGCAACAACTCAAAGCAAATAAGGGCAACAGTAAGAAAAAAATTCTTTACACGCTTCTTGTTACCTGCTTTGTTCTTCCCACCAATTCCCTACTTGCAGGCTTAATACCACTTAACTGAATGACTATTAAGTTGCTTTATTCCCTAAAATTTTGATCATATCTCTAGTATCAGTTTTCTGCTTACTTTTTCTCAGTGTGACTTTCAATGTCTTTATAATCTGCAGGTTTCCAGCTGCATTCTCTGTCTTCCTGTCCAGAACCTTGTAGTTGTGTCCACTAAGCAAGTTTAGTAATTCCCCCAAAGAAAAAAGCGATTTCTCACTCATTTCAATATCTTCTGCTTCTTCCACTTTTATGGAACCAAAACCACAGCCAACCCCCCTCCCCCCAACCACCCCGAAATCTAAGCCATATCCCTCCCCTAACAGAAACACAGAATAAACAATAAAAAGGATGCCACCCATCTTGCATATGTTATCATGGGACTTCACTCACCACCTTTTCTGAACAGGAAGGGCAAAAAAATGTGTTATGTGGACATATCTATTATGTTGAGAAGAAACCAACACGAGCAGAACTTGGACCTTAACAGCACTTAATGGCCTTTCCTAAAATATTTGGGTTTGGGGTTTTTTTTGCTGTTTTTTGTTTGTTTGTTTGTTTTTATTATTTTTTTGTGTGTGTGTGTGTTTGGTTTGGTTTGGTTTTGTTTTGCCAAGAGTTTTGATTGGAGTAAAAGCAAGGCAAGCTTTTCAAATTTGATTCTTTGTTGCTTACTTCAATAAAATAATTAATGCAATACTGTAAATGTATAAACTCTTTTTTGGACTTTGTGAAATCTGCTGATGTGGAGCTCTTCTTTGTATGCACCACTGTCAAGTAGGTGCAATTCCTGTGCTGAAGGGAGTCCACTGAATCTATATTTAGTATTAACCATTTACTATCTGACTGGCTACTTAGTCTTGGAGTATATCCTCAGATACTCTATTTAAATGAAATAATTATCATTTCAGCAAAGCATCAAGACATTCTTAATGGAAAAATATCATTGAGATCACATATAAATGCATTTTAAACTGTACCTACTTGTGTTTTTACTCTAGCCTTTTTTTGTCCACCACTTATTTTTTCCCCAAGGTGCTCCTGACACCTGCTACATTTAAATTAGTTAATGTTGTTCAGAATATATTTCCTCTTAGCATGTCACATATAATGTTTTTTCTACATTTCCATATTTTGAATTTTTCAAGTTGAAGTAGCTCCCCAGAATTTCAAGATGGAGCTCCAAAGTGTCTTCCTATTTTAATTCACAGTAATTATGTCCTTTCTGGCCATATACTACGTTTTGGGCTTATGTGATAATTACCTTTATAAAACTGCATTTGTGTGCAGACAGCATCAAAATGCAGAGTTCTGGTTTTGGGAACGTCAGCATGGAATGGGCATTGTGCTTCACTGATTATACTTTCCCTCAAGGAATGCAGCTTTTTGCTTATTTGAAATGGTGAATAGGGTGTTGGTTAGAATTCCTGTTTCTAATGAAGTCACACAGCAGTATCACTTTCTGGATCTTCTCTGCCTGGTATAGTTCTTGCTGGCATACCTTGTAAACCTTATTAGCACTAATGTTATATACTAACATGACTTTTACAAACAGAGAAACAGAAAGTGTTTATACCAGCCAGAAGAGTATAGCAGTGAACAAGAGCATCTAGGATACATGAGAATTATAACCATATTATAGAACAAAGATCTTACTGATAGTCTTTATTCTTCCTTAGTTTTTTAGACAGCATTAGGTTACACAACAATATCTGTGAATAATAAAGCAATGAGCTTTGTAAAAATAGAACATAAATGTTTATATGTCCTTTTTTTGACAATTATTGAATATAAAGTCTTTTTCGTCAGAGTTCTGAGCATACTGTTCATAATTTTAACTCCAGCAGCCAGTCATTGGTCAGTTGATCAGATTATTCATTCTGAAGAATACTTGTGAATAATATTGGAGAATGCTCTATAAAAGCCAAGTTTTGTCTTGAATTACAGGCATTATGTAGAACTTACAAAAACGTAAAATAAAATAAAACAAAAAATAAAGTATTAAAAGCTATTCAGGTTTTTTTTTTTTTTTTGCTATTTTGAGGAAGGAAAAAACCCTAATTTGATGATTCAGCAATATGTAATAACTTAATTGCTGGAGGCAATTTAGCTGTGGATGAAAAAGAGTTTCACCCCAAACCAACCAGAAACAATTTAATCTTTTACTTAATGTCAGTGGACATTAGGTCAAGCCATAGATTAATGTCTTTTTCCTTCTCAACAAGTTGGATGCATACTGGATTTCAGTTCTCCAGAAACCTGCAGAAGATGAAAGGTTTGGACATGTCTAACTTTATGCTGTCCAGTTAAATGAATTAGTGCTAGCTGGGAGCTTCAGTATGCAATTAAAAATCCTCTCTGTCTTCTTAACAATAAACTATGTTATTTCTATGATCTGAACGATCCATATTGTGTGGAATACGGAAAGAGAATTTTTCTTAGATGTTTAAAAACTACACTGAAAAGTTAGAAAATACTGAATTAGGAAAAAACATACAGAATACTGTTGATTCAAAGTATTAACAAGATTCATTTCATAAAGTAATAATTTTAGTGTACAGCTACAGAGGATTATTTAGAAAATACTTTCTAAACCAAGGAATTGCCGCTTACTAATTACTTGTCACAAAGTGAATATATGATGAATTTTCTTGGCTGCATTTTGCTCATGAATGAAAAAAGGTCAGCTCTGTGTCCAAACTGAAATGATAACACAAACATTGCATTATGATGACATTTACACTGAATTATTTTTTTAAATATATGGCTATACTATTTCAGCATCAAGACATGACGATTGTCTTTTCACTTAAAAATGAAAAGCAAAAATAAGTGAAAATAATGATTATCTGGTTTTTGTCATTGATGCCGAGAACATCCTTACTTGAACAATTTTGTGAATAGCAGAAATGTCTAAAATCCTTATATGGTAGCAATATTCTGTGTTTTGATTCATGTGTACCTGACTAATATATTTTGAAACATGCCAGAAGCATTTACAGGATTGGGCTGCACTTTCATATATCTTTTTCCCTATGTACATATACGGCCTATAAGACCTGCAAATGGAAATGCCTAACTATGTGCTTTAGAATCCTACCTTACAATTTTAAGTCATTAAAAAATTTTGTAGTTCTTAGCTCCCTGATAGCACAGAACACACAGTAGTATGTAAAATGTGTGCAGATTTATATTGAGAATTGATACCTCCAGGTGTGGGAAGCATTCTGAGGGATGTGGTAAACAAGTTTTCAGGGTTCTCTAATAACAGATGTTTTCAAAATGACTCACCCATGAGTACTTTGCATTCATACTTACATGTTTTGCTGGAACTCTGATCATTTACAGCTGCAAATCTAGAAAAAT